CACACGCTATAATTCACAATGATTTACACACTTTATTTATGGCTTGACTCGATTATCCCCCGTTATCAGTTTATCTGCCGGCTTATATACTAAAATAGAGGGCGTCTAGAAAATGCTGGGACATTTGTGAAGTTCCCTGATCCTTCTAGAATCTCATCACGTATTACTAGCGTCACGTGACTTCCGCTATTGTAACAATATGTAAATACTAAAAAACATGGATATATTTTTCAAGCAAAACGTACATATATAAAAAGTATGTACTAAATTTCATGCTTGTTTGTTTGTTTGTAATTAAGCACAAAGCTACACAATGGGCTATCTGTGCTCTACCCACTATGGGTATCAAAACCCGGATTCTAGCGTTGTAAGTCTACAGACATACCGCCGTGCCACTGGCGGGCAAATTTCATGCAATTAGGTTATTTTATAAGTGTGAGAAAAGAGTGGTAATCCAATCTATCATATATTTTCAGTGGATGTGTGCTACTGGACCCTTACTTCACATATCAGATTTCAAGGCAATCCATTAAGAAACACAAGATATGAAATCTCCAATTTTGATTGAATTTGTTTCTCTTTTCTTCTTTACACCAAAAGTATGGAATTTATTTGATAGAAAAACATAAAAGTTATATGAGCTATCAGTCAAAACATTTTGCTGCAGCTTCACCTAAGGGTTAAATTTTACCCATTTTAGTTGTTTGCCATTCGGATTAAAGACGGCTGATTTAGAGCAGCAAAATTATAGGATGAAAGTACGTGCAGATATATAAGTATTTGTCAGGCCAAGGAAACTAGATTAGCAGTTTCTAGCTCAAGTTTTCAAAAGTATCATATGGGTGGATGGTAATTATTCATTATTCATAATTAAAGAGCATTTAACATTACGTGATATTAACTTAAGCAATTAGCATAAATAATTATGCTTGATATGGCTGTAGCAAGTGCATGTGGATGATGACAAGAAACTGTTAATCTAGATGCCATGGTGTTACTACTAAAATAAGTTACTAACACTGTTTTAGAGAGGAAAACTACCACCATACATTTTAAACAATCTGGTTGGTTCTGTGAAGTATAGGTCTGTTCCAAATAATAAGGTTGTGATCCAAAAGCTAATGCTGATTACTATCAAGTGTCACTTTTTTACTTGCTGTGGCTTGTTGATCTGTATTGACAAAAGTCATGATATCTAATAAAAAAACACCTTAGGTGTGAAAAAAAGGTGCAGCTAAAAAAGGATTGAGTGTGGAATTAAAGAAATGAAGTCCAAATTGGCAGCCAAACTGGCAGCTATACCTATAGCATTGATAAGAAGTTTACAGCAAATATTTGTTCATTAGTTAGCTGGGTCACGTATTTTGTTATACCAGCCATCATGCCCCAAGTTGAACAAAAAATATGTAGTTTTTGCAAGCTACACATGAAACAATCTTAAATACGTTGTGACAAGAGCATATATTGCTATTGTAAAACTACTAAGATAACGAGAGTGATATTTTTTATGAAAATAATAGCATTCTGAGTATTATAAACTGAAATCTATATTACGATAATGTAGTCTTTCGGTTTAGTTTTTCATGATTAAATACCTTTATAGTTCTAAATCAGCAATGTGTAGAAGGCTACTAAAATGTTACTTAAACAACAAATTTGTTTCATCAAATAATTATAAGTACATATTCCAGGTTAGCATTATATAAAAATTAAAACATTTAACTAGTTGATATGAATTTTCAGATGAAAGAATAGCCATACCTGCTTTTCACTCATAATCACACGACCTAAAAGTTGATCTTCCAAACCTTTAATGGTCACAGTGAAATCTATGACTGATGTACGAGCACTAACCTGTAACACAATGAAGAAATGTATCAAATATTAGAACATTACAAAAACCTATTTTATTTTAACTTAAAAGATGCAGGACTTACATTTATATAATATACAATTTATCTGAAACACTTACATTCCCATACTTGTTATCAAAGTAAATGAACTTTATGTGTATTATACCTTTGCATTATACATGTACATTTTATTTCAGTTTTTCTGCCTGTGCTTCAATACTCTGATGAAAAAAAAATTGCATAATATATATATATTCTTATTCAGTTTTGTTCATTAATTTCAATCGATACATAGGAAGCCAACTAGTCGATAGCTGCCACTGTAAGCTCTTGGGCTATTCTGGTTTGATCACATAGTGAGATTTGACTGTCACTCTGTACCCACTGCAGAGAAGTTTTAGAAGCAAAGGGCCATGAAACAGATTCTCAGATTCACTACCTGGGCATGCTAACCACAAGGCTATATCTCATTCAAATTCTTACTTATAATGAAATACAAGCCTTACATTTATATAATTCTTGATGTAGCTGAAAAAAAATTCTTGTGGCATTTTTAAACAATACATATTGTTAGATATACACCACTGTTTAATACAAGTGTTATGATTTACATAGTTTAAGTATAGCGAGAATGTTAAATTTAGTTATTTTTACAAGTGATAGTTTATCATAGTTTTGTTTACATAACTGTGCAAATAATACATTGTGTAGTTCAACTGTCATGAAATGTGGCTTGTTGCATTATTATATAATGTTACTATAGCCTTCTAAGTTTTTCTCGAGTATTATTGCATCATAATATCTCATTATGTACTGAAAGTTCTAGGCCTCTGTTGGGTGTTACAAATATGTATCTAAAATGTATTGAAAGTTCTAGGCCTCTGTCAGGTGTTATAAATATGTATCTAAAATGTATTTTGAGTTAGATATAGACATATATAGACAGTTAGATATATTTAGACTATAAGCTTGGCCATAAAAAGCATATAGTGTCAATTTCTCAAGTGAAAATATCACAGACTGTATTGTTATAACAGGGCAGGAAAAATGACTCATTTAAATATGAATACTCTTCAAAGTGTGTTCTAAAGTCACTGAACCAGCCTATGTGGACTTTGATGAAAAAGAGACAATTATCAATTGTGATGGTCAACAGTGAAATAAACATTTGTATATGCATTTGAATTGTTATTGTATAATATTTTAAAACAAGTGGACTGTGTGCTGTTTGTTTATTGCCAAAAGTCACAGACACCCACTGCAAAGAATCAGGCCATATCAAACTGACAGTGGTAAGCCAGCCAGGATATACAGTGGTTGAAGAGACGTAAACAACCAGAAAATAGACTTATATACTCGTAGCTGTAATATAACTTGTCGACTGACTGGTTACATGCTCCACTGACATGTCACTGTTCCTAAAGGAGAGAGCACTGAAAACATAGATGACATGATCAAACTGGCAAAACAGTATATGGAAGCCCATGGAGGGAGTATAACTGGTAAGTCCAAGAATAACCAGTCAAAGTTGAAACCAGGGGTGGCTGACCAGAAGCAGGATGGTACAAAAGGTGACAAGAAATCAATTGACAAAAAGTGGAAGAGATGCTATGCTTGTTATAAAATGTGGCATATTGCACGATTCTACAAGTCTGTCACTAACAAGCAACAGCAGAAATATCAACATAAAGCAGCTGGAGGTCCAGCCATCAGCTTTGTAGGATGGTGTTGGCAAATTACAAAAAATGAGTGACTATCAGACGATTGCCAGAAGAAACATAATAGAGACAACTTGTCAGATTCAGCAGAAGAAGGAAGTGCTATGATCATGATTGATGGGCAGTAGAAGTTAGCAAATGGGTCAACAGTGCCAGTAGCAATTGGAGAATGTGGCTAGCATTGGGAGGTGCCAACAAACCACAACATGTTGGTAGGTGAAGGATATATCAAGGACAGCAAAGTGAAAGTCTTATGAGATACTGGGTGCAGCAGTGAGAACTAGTCTAGTATCCAATAACCAGATGACGGGCAAGGTACATCTGTATGTACTAATTGATGGAACAGTGAGAAAGTTTCTCATAGCAAGAATAAAGGTGGACACTCCATATGAAGGCATCACTCTACAACTTGGTGATTGATAATATACCACACAGTAGAAGTTTGGAAGAACCAGACAGAAAGGAGACTGATGAGGCATCTGCAGTCACCACAAGAGCTTCAGAAAAGAAAAGAAAGCAAGACACCAAGCCCCTGCAAGTCTCGAAAGGTGACATCCTGAATGTAGGTCTATGGGTACTGAAGGAAGCACAGTAGAAAGACCCTTCACTTTAGAAACTTTGGGATAGTGCCTGGAAAAAAGTCAAACACAAGACAATGAAGAAAGAGACTTACAGAATAGAGAACTGGAAGAGAGTACTGTACTGGATCTATCAAGGCAGTTATACAGATCATAGTACCAACAGAATACTGCACTCAATAGATGAAGTAGGCTCACAAGTCAATTGTGGGAGGACACATAGGAGCTAAGAGTATGGCAGACAGAATCACCAGCAAGTTCCACTGGCTGGGAATCATTGGAGACACAACCAGGTTCTGCAGGTCATGTGACATCTGTCAAAAGACAGTACCTAGAGGGAAGGTAGCCAAGATGCCACTGGGTGAGATGCTTCTCACAGAAGAGCCATTCAGCAAAGTAGCTGTGGACTTGATCAGACAATTAGCACCTGTATCTGACAAGGGCAACCAGTATGTGCTGACAGTAGTTGACTGTGTGACATGTCACCCAAAGGCCATAGCATTGCTGAAGATAGAGATGGAGAGAAAAGAAGTATTTCTGGAATTGTTCTGCAGAATAGGCTTTCCAAAAGAAGTCTTGAGTAACAGAAGGACCCAATTTACCTCAATACTGATACAAGAGGTATGCAGACTCATCAGCACTAGGCAGCTCTTTACCATCCTAGATGTAACAGACTTTGTGAGAGAGTCAACGGAGTCTTAAAAAGCATGCTGAAGAATATGTCCCATGAGAAACCACATAACTGGGACCAGTACTTGCAGGCAGTATTTGCTTACTGAGAAGTCCCACAATGGAGTACAGTGTTTTCACCCTTCGAGTTACTGTATAGAAGGACAGTACAAGGTCCAATGCAGATATTGAAGGAACTGTGGATAGGAGAAAAAGAGTTAGAAGTGAGGAAGACATACCAGTATGTGTTTGACCTCAGAAACTGACTGTTAACTCACTCAAGAAAGTTTGTATGCAGCTCAAGGAAGTCAGAAGCACTTCTATGACAAGAACCCTAAGGATCGCTGTTTCAAGGTCGGACAGAAGGTCTTAGTTCTGCTACCCACAGACAGCAATGAATTCAACCTAGAGTGGAAAGGACGTTTTGAAGGGCAGGAAGTGGTCAACAGAAGGGACTCTAAGGTGAAAGTGATGAGAAACCTGATCAAGCAAGATGTTGAGGTAATGTTAGAAGCCAGAATCATTGAGCCTTTGAATTCCACCTACTGTTCACCAGTGGTAATTGTGAAGAAGAGGGGCAGATTCTGCATAGATTTCTAAAAAGCTGAACCTCTTGACAAAGTTTAACTCCAAACATATGGACAATCCAGAGGCTATCATGGTGAAACTAGACAGTGCCAAGTTCATTTCCAAGATTAATCTAAATAAAGGTTATTGGCAGATCATGATAGAGAAAGGATCTAAAGAGAATACAGCCTTTGTAACACCAGATGGATGGTACTAGTTAAAAAAAAAGCCATTTGGATTAGTCATCTCAGCAACAACATTCAACCTCATGATTAGAAAGATGTTGCACAAAACCACCAACATCGAGCATTATGTGGAAAAACATTATGACTCACACAGCCAGGTGGGAAGATTACCGGAAGAAACATTGATCATCAGACCATTTAAATGTAAAATTAGTTATTCTGTGCTGGACTTTGTTGGACACAAGGTGGGTGACTGGCAAATAGCCATTAAAGAGGAGAAGCTAAACTGAAAACACAATGCACCAGCTCCAACAACCATGCAGCAAGTCAGATCTTTCCTGGGGTTAGCAGAATATTATAGGAAGTTCATCCTAAACTATGTTGAAGTCACTGCACCATTGATTGACCACAAAAGACCAACCAAAAATGTTGGAATGGAAACTACCTTAGCAAAAGGCATTCTAGAAGTTGAAAAACATGTTAGGTAGTTCATTAATCTTTAGAATGGTAGACTGAAAACAGTCTTGAAAAGGGGCTTATTATTAGATATACACAACTGTTTAAGTTTAATGAGAATGTTATGATTTAGATGGTTTAAGTGTAGCACAAGTGTTAAATTTAGTTATTTTTACAAGTGATAGCTTTTGTAGGTTGTTTTGTTTACTAACTGTGCAAATCATACGTTGTATAGTTCAACTGTTGTAAATTTGCATTTGTTGTATTATTGTGTCATGTTACTAGAACCTTCCAAGTTTTTCTCAAGTATTATTACATCATAATATCTCGTAATGTGTGGAAAGTTGTAGGCCTCTATTGGGTGTTATAAATATACATCCAAAATGCAGTTGAAGTTAGATATAGACATATAAATAGATAGATCTAGACTTCAAGATTGTGAGTTTAGCCATAAAGAGCATATAGTGGAGATTTCTAAAATGAACTTATCACAGATTGTATTGCAATAATAGAGTTGAGAAGAAGAATTTGTCTTGTGAAATTGTATTCTAAAATAATTGAACCAGCCTATGTGGACTTTGATGAAAAAAGAAGATAATTATTTACAGTTCTGGATACAATTGTGGTAACCAATAGTCATAGTGATAATTTTAAAGAGTGAGTGTCAAAGACTGTATTGTAATAACAGAGCAGGAATAGTAATTCATCTTGTCAAAGTGTGTTCTAAAGTAACTGAAGCAGCCTGGCTGGACTTTGACAAAAAAAGAGACAATTATTTAAAGCTCTGGATACACTGTGATAAAAAACAGTGTAACAAACATTTGTATATATGTTTGACTTGTCTTAGTATATTATTTTAAAATAAGTGGACTGTGTGCTGTTTGTTTATTGTTGAAATTTATCACCGATAAGTCACAGACACCTAGTGTAAAAAATCTAGTTTATAAAACTGACTCATATATTTATTTTGACATCAATTGGAAAATAAAAATCTTACTGTTTGTAAATAAAATTTATGTGTCATTTATTAAAAACTGCCATATCCACACCTTTGTATTGACACACATGCATCTTGTAGTTTCTATGGATGCTTTATTGCTCTGATTAAAAATTTCACAATAAAGATAGTTACTTGGAATAATATGAATTCAGTGAGAAAAAGATTTAGCAATTAGGTTACAACTTGAAATACTAAGAGTTAATAGCACTTAATATGGATGAGGTAATTAATGCCTTTGTGCTACAGATGTGAGCCATGGGCAATAAAATTAGCAGGTATATAATTGATCCATCAAACATTTCCAACTATTGAAAAGTGCAATTCCAGCATGGATAAACTTATATGGATGGAGAAATACATTATAACCCATTTGGAGGAAGGATGTTTGTACAGTTAAACTGCATGACATATAGCCAAAGGATATAATATTTCAAAGAAAAACCTTTAATGAAGTAAAAAAATTCATACAAGAGAGTGTTAAGAAGAGAAACAAGCTCTGAATCCACATCTTAAGCCAATTTAGACCAACTCTCTCATTACCAAAGAGAAGACTATGGTTATGAGACAGAACCCTCTATCGCAAACAATCACAGTGATGGAGCTGGGCATATATTTTAGTACCAGTAACAAGATAATAAACAAATATTTGATATTAAAGTACCCTAACTAGCCAGAAGTTCAAAAACTCCCAGACATATCTTGAAATCAATAGCTGTTTTCATGATAAAGATGGATGTAGAAACTGAAGTCATAGCAATCTCATTCTATCATACATCTTTCAAGTCTCCCAGTGAATTCCAATGAATTTAAGTTTCTTTGGTCTGCTTAAATATGATCGTAGTAGCTGACACCCATATACAATGGGATCTAGGACATGGTTTATATAAAGTGCAATTAATCATGAATATTTGCAATGTTGTTTTCAGCTGGGCTCAAATGAGAACAAATCACTGTTTGCTGGAGTCCAAGCAAAACTTAAATGACAATATATTTACCAGCTAAAATCTACTTGGGCTGAACCAGAGATATTATAGACCAGTAATGTCTGTTTTGCATAAATTAAAGATACATTAAACATTTTATTTCCATTTATAATTTACTTATATAAATAATCAACATTGAATACTGTGAATTAAGTAATAGGTGTTAGACCATATTGTAACACTGTTCTTTCATTGGGCTGGATCTTTTAAATTATTTGGTGAAATTAAGGCCAAGTCCAAGTCCAATTTCCATTTTTCTTCCTTAATGTTTATACAGGCTACTTTATCTTGTACACCTTTGTAACATGTAGGCCTAAGATTACAAATGGAAATACCTCATTAATGGCACCATGACTAATGTATAAATAAACTTGCACATTTTTCACTGCTAACCGATCGTGTAACTGATTTGATCATATGTGACAACTAATATCATTCTACCAAGTGAAAACACAAAACTGACTCAATGCTTCACTGATTCTCATATTTACAATGTAGCCTTGTTACAAGATTTTTGTGATGTCATCTAGAACATTCTAGGTATTCTAGGACTACTTTAACATCATTCACCTTCTAGTTAACATCTAAACTGAAACATTAAAAATTAGCTTACAACAATACTGATCCAACAGAATCACAACTGTTTGTATCTTAATGTTTGTGTAGTAACTTCACTTTAGCACAGAAACACACACACACAAACAAAATTTGGATATATCCATACAAGAATAACTATGATTTTACATGTATGTGCTATTGAATTGCTCAACAAATCACACTTTGATTATGACAATGATCTGTCCACTTAATTACTTCTTTCATTTATACATGTATCCTACACTTACTTATTAATTACTACTTATTACATACACAATGTTTATACAACTAAGTTTCAAATGCTGTTCTGATGACATTAATTTTCAGATCAAAGAAAATAGCATTTGATATAGGGTCCTCTGGATTAGCAAACGTGGTACTCCACTAGAATGGGAGAAAATAGCATCAATCTACTATCCAGGACACTACTGCCTTTATCAAAATAATATCTAACAGTGATAGCATATTAAGATGTATATATATATATATTATTTAAACAGACATTAGGGCATTTTTCACATTCTCAATCATCCTACACAATTATGAGTATAATAACAATACTCTAATTACGCATATTCTGCTTATTTGAAAATCATTGTTCTTACTTCTGGAGAAAAACATGGATTAGCTAGTTTTGTTGTTATGTAGAGCCTGAAATTTTCCATCACATCACATTCTTTGTCTCCTAATTTCACCTAATTAAGAAAAAAATGTTTTTTTTATAAACCTCATTTTTAGATTTAATATTCATGAGCAGTGTATTTTCTGTATATAAATAAGAAATATGTTAGTTAATATAGACATTAAAGTTCAAAATTACCATAATCTGAAAACTAATTTTGAGCAAAATCAATTCTAACCTGCCCAGTTGCATTGAAAATGTGATATTGATTATTATAAGACAAGTGCTGGAAACCAATTTATAATGGACAAGTTAAAGAAATTACATAAAATAATTATTGGTGGGTATGTATATCAACAGATGCTACACCTGTGTAATTTGTTTTATAACATTAGCTATTTATATCCCTATTTCAGTGGGCTGTCAATAATTATTGTTACATATTGGAACAACAAAAAAGTGAAAAAGCAAATTAAACAAAGATTTTGGGATAATGGATATAAGAGGTAAGGTAGAAAATATACAACCTTATAACTTGTTCCAGATTTAACATAATTTTTCTCCAAAATATTATCTAGGACAGGATCGAGCACTTCTTCCACATCTTTAATAAGTAAAGGTTTTCCCATTGAAAGTGCATCTTCTAAGTGAGATCGGAAGTATTTGTGATGAAGAGATGTAATCTAGAGTAATACAAAACAGTATTATTATTATCTAATTGTATATTAAAGAGCTCTACTGAAGTCAGATAACACAATTTGTATTAGAAAAACAACCCAAATTCTTCAATACAATAAGAAACTACATTAAAATTCTGTTCTGCAGACTTACATGGGTTAAAAAGGATTTTCAGATTTATCACACTTTTAAGTAGTACCATGGTTTGATTGAAGAAGGAAATTTCCAAACTGACATGAGCATGGTTATCACAGCAAAAACTTACTAGCATGGTTATCACAACAAAACTTACTAGCATGGTTATCACAACAAAACTTATTAGCATGGTTATCACAACAAAAACTTACTAGCATGGTTATCACAACAAAACTTACTAGCATGGTTATCACAACAAAACTTATTAGCATGGTTATCACAAGAAAAACTTACTAGCATGGTTATCACAAGAAAAACTTACTAGCATGGTTATCACAACAAAAACTTACTATTACAGCTGTATATTAATTTTATAGCAACATAAAGAAAAAAACGTTTTCCTTACCAAAAGACCATAATGTTTTTCTTTATTGTTTATCCAAGATTTTCCTTGTCCTTGTGGGTCAATTAATAGTGGATATCGAGATGCTTTGGTTACAATAATGCCATTTTGAATAGAAAGGTCATCATTGGGCAATCCTTGTAAATTCCATTCTCCTATCTAAGAGAAACCTTAGCGATAACTTATTATAATCTGTAAAAGACATAGTCATTACATTTACAGGAATTATAAAGCTATGTGACACTGTAAGAAATATCTTGGTTTGTATAATAGTGACATTTATACTTTTCTAAATTTATTAGTCAATATAAAGTGTATGAAATCACTACCCAAAATGAAGTTTAAACACAAGGCATCGAATTTAATGCGACATATTAAGTCAAGCAAGTAATTATGTTTGTACATGTAGCTTAAAAAAATAAAGGACTGTGAAGACAGCTGCAAAACTTTACTAAATATGTCAAAAAAGCTTAACAGTTACTGTGACACACACATTAATTTCAAAATATTTCTGGCAGTATCCACATCAGTTTCATATTCAAATATTAATATAAAAATTTGTTTTATGCAAAAACCTTTAATGCTAACAATATGATTCCAGGATCATTTGCTTTGCATGACCACAAAACAACACATACAGCCCTGTGAAATACTTAAATGCTTTTTTGTGCATTGAATGTATTGTTTCCAAAGTGAATTTTTACTTATTGTTCAAACTCCCAGCATAATGAAATATTAAAGTATCAATTATTATTATTATAGGAAGCAATATCTGACTAGTTCAACTGAAACATATTAGGAAAATTTCAGGATCATCGTGCTTTTCCAAGCTTTCATGGAAAACAAATGTCAGAATAAGGTATATATATATATCTTTTTATATGCTTTGAAAGTGGCAAAGGTACAGATGGGCAGTCAACTTGATATAATTGATTACCTAAGAGCATCAGTTACGTTGATTACATTGAATAATCGATTACCTAAGAGCATCAGTTACGCTGATTACATTGAATAATCGATTAATCAAAATTATAATTAAATCAGAATAATGCCACAAAAATAATCAACTAATCAAAAACTAGTGTTTCCAATTAGTCCTATTTCGATTATTCCAACTATTTAAGTAAATGAAATATTGCCATTTGTTATGATAGCGGAAGTCATGTGACGCTGGGAGCATGCACGCTGGAGTTTCTCGAAGGATCATGAATTTGCTTGGCAACCCTAGTGTGTTCGAGATGCCCTCTTTCTTAATATATATAAACCTTGCAAAGAAAGCCAGCGTGATATAGATAATTGAGTCAACAGAACAGTAGTGACAGTGAGCCGTAAATTGTGTGTGTTTTGCAGTCGTCGCATAGAACAAAGTTATCGAGCTTGTGAATCACTGTGATTTATAGCATGTATTATAAAGTGACGAGAGACGTATTGACTGTGGAATTACTGTGTAATAAAAGTTTGTATCAAGAAAGAATAAACTGGATTAATCAAGAAAGGACTTGTATCGCTGAAGTTCCTCGGAAAGAATATCTACCGGAAATTAACAAACAAGCAGATACGCAACAAATTGGTGTCAGAAAGTGGGACGGAAAGGAAGAAAAAAAAAAGAAAGAAGAAGAATGAAATGAGAAGAGGCAAATCAAACTAAAGCTTAGCAGATTTGATGGCAGCAATACAAGAACAGCAAAAGAAACAAGAAGAATGAGAAAATAAACAAGAAGAGAGACTACAGCAGTGGTTGGAGGAATAAGAAAATAAACAAGAAGAGAGACTACAGCAGTGGTTGGAGGAGAAAGAAAATAAACAAGAAGAGAGACTACTGCAGTGGCAACTGGAACAAGAAAGGAAACAGGAAGAAAGTCTCCAACAGTTGCTGGAGACGTCAACAGCAACCATAGGAAAGTCAACAACAATGGCAAGAAGTACAAATGGAAAACATTAGTAAATTTCAAA